TCCTGGGGCGTCTGGGTGGCTCAGTTGGTTAAGTGCCTGACTCTTAATTTCTAGCTCAGGTCACGATCTCCTGGTTCAGGAGCTCGAGCCCCATGTCAGGCTCTGCACTGACAGCACGGAGCCTGCTTGACATTCTCTCTTTCCCTCTCTTTCTGCTCCTCCCCCGCGCACATGCACCCTCTCCCTCTCTCTCCCCCTCTCTCCCAAAAATAAACAAACATAAAAAAAGGAGCCCGCAACAACTCCCCAGTTTCCCAGAGTTTAAACAAACAGCCCCCGCGTCATCCCCATCACCTCCCTGACAGCCAGCCTCTCCTTCCTCGCTCACTTCTTCCCCGCGCCCCCACCCGCCCAAATCAATACGCCTTTTATTGCATCTTTAAAATATGTCAAGTAGGTCTGAAAAATTATCTGGCATCTTGCAGTTTCTGTAGCTGGACAACTTAGTCCTTATTCATCAGCCTGCCGAACTGTTCCTTTTTTCAGAAACCTCGCCACCATCCCCAGATTTCCTGACGTCCTTATTTTTAACGCTTGTGGCCTGCTGAATCAAAAGCAGCTGAGTTTCGATACAAGTTCAATGTCATTTCCTTCAAGAATGAACTCATCTTTCTGGGCCTGAGATACCGAACAAGCAAACGCCTGGCCTCATCTGAACCCTGCGGGGGGTGTGTTTTTTCACCCGAGAGATTTTGGATCTCGACGAGAGCGTCATTCTCCCGAACGATGACGTCGGTGGAGGAGCGAGCGGGCACGGGCCTCATCTTGTAACGGAAGCCCAGCGTGATACCCTTGACCATGTTCTGCACACGACTACAGATGGTGCGAACGGTAGCCAGCTCTCCAGTTTTCCACCATGCGTCAACTCAGGGCTCTTCGTTTTCCTTCCAGGGAGACTGAGCTCTACACTGATGTGGTTGAAGTCCCTCCGCAGGGTTCCTCTGGGGCCCTTCGCAAATAACAGTGCCTCTCTTCAGAGTGATGGCGACATCTTCCGGAATGTTGACGGTCTCATTGCTGAGAAAGGCCTTCGTTCTCCCACCAGATGTGGCCAAGAGCTCCCACCCTTCCTCTTGCCCACTCTGCTTCACCCCTTCTGGCCTCTTCACGCTTCCCTGAACATGCCAGGCATGCTCGTGCCTCAGGACCTTTGCACTGGCTGTTTCTTCTGCCTAGCACGCTCTTCACCCAGACACCCACATAGCCGATTCTTTTACCTCTTTTGAGTTTTTGTGCGTGTGTCTGCTTCTCAGAGGCCCTACCTGACCATCCTGTTTAAAATTGCAGTGTAATCTTCCCACTACTCTGGAGCCTGGGAGCCTCTTGATTCTGTATTTTTTTTTTTTTTTTCACCTATAGCACTAGGTCCCACCTCCCAACATACAATATAATTTATTTATTGTTGTACTTAGCTTATCGTCTGTCTTTCCGGGCTAGAATGTCACCTCCATGAGGGTGGGGGCCTCTGCAGCGCTCACTGATATACCCCAAGAGCCCAGAACAAGGCTGGGCACGGAGAATGGTCTCAAAGAATGTCTGATGAACGAATGATAAATTCATACAAGTCATTGCCTTGGCCGTTGCCATGAGAGGGGCTCAGTGTCACAGGCTGCAGGTTTGGATTCCTTTCTTCTTTATTGATTTTAGAGAGAGAGCAAGGGTAAGCAGGGGAGAGGCAGAGAGAGAGGGCGCGAGAGAGAATCCCAAGCAGGCTCCCCACTGCCAGCACACAGCCTGATTGATGTGGGACTCGAACTCATGAATCACAAGATCATGACCCGAGCTGAAATCAGAGTCTGAGCTTAACAGACTGAGCCGCCCCGGTGCCCCGTGGGTCAAGGCTTGGATTTCTGAAGGCCAGTGAAGGCGTGCCCAAGGTCTGCAGAAGTACCCCCCCCCACCCCCACCCCCAGGGAGTGGGATGGGCAGGGGAAGCTCACACGTGTGACGCCAGCTGATCCGGCTTCTAGCACAGACTTAGAAACATGTCGCCCGTTTAACTCTCCTCTAGTCTTTCTGGTTCATCAAAGACCCGGAGTGTGCAAATCTATCCTCAAAACCAGCCCATCTCCCCCTTTAACAGCCAGAGAGCCCATCTGGGCTTCCCGCTTGCACTTGTTCATACCGAGCTGGCTTTAGTAACATTGTTTGCTTTAATCCTATTTACTTTCACGGTTGCCTTTCTATTTACAGTGAGTGCTGCTGGTTTCCCACGGATGGGTGTCCAAAATTTACTGGCGTTGTCTTTTGGGAAGAACACCCACCGCATGTGGAGCTGTGTGCTAACTGGCCTGTGCACAGTGATGGGCACCCCGGCCTCAGGCTCCGCCCTCCTGCGGCTGCCGGTCTAGCAGGGAAACAGACAATAAAACGGAAGTAACGAGTCAGTGATTTGTAACAAAACACTCCGGAAGAAACCAACAAGGTGAAACCAACAAGAATGCGAGGGGCTGGGGCTGGAGTCCTGTAGGGTCAGGGATGGCCTCACCGAGGAGGGCACTGAAGGGAGACCCAGCCAGCCGTGTGAAGCAGGAAGAGCATTATAGGCAGAGGGAACAGCATATGCAAACGAGGTGAGTACAAGTTGGGTGCATTGGAAGAACAGGAAGGAGGCCGGTGAGGTTGGAGCTGGCTGGGGGACAGGGAAAGTGGCTCGTGATGAGTCTGGAAAAGCAGATGGGGTTGTTGCCTGGTGACAAGTTTGACTTTTATCCCAATTCTTTTCCTGAGTGATGGGAGTCGGAATACCGCAGATGTGCTTGCCTAAGAAAACATCGCAGCCCCTCGCCCAAGGCCGGGTGTGGGAAAGGATGAGGTCACCCGTGCTGAGGCGTCTGTCTGCCCAAGAGGACTCTGGAGATTTCGCTTGTGGCATCAGAGAATCTGACCTTTGTCACACTCAGATTACCAAAGTGAGAGGTCCCTGAGTAGAGCAGAGCAGGGCTGAAAACAGACGGAGGGACGAAGGTCCCAGTGGCAGCTGGCTCGTCTGTCCCCAGGGTCCTGAAACAGGATTAGCCTGATGCCACACAGACAGACACCGTGGACCCACAAAATCTCTGCATCAGCCCCACTCAGCCCAGGAGAGCGAGAGGGACTCAGACAAGGTGCTGAGTTGAACTCAGATTCCCTTTCAAAGCTTCCTGTGTGGGCAGAGCCGCTTCCCCTTCCCTGGGGCTCAGGGTGCTCCCCCGAAAGCCATTCATCAGAGCAAACCTTACACCCCACACTCCTTCCTCCATCCCTGGAATCAGCCTGGAATGCGGGCCTGGTGGTATGCTGGCCACAGAGCTCCCGGAGCCGGACCCACCAGCCTCTCCTCTCTCCTTGTGTGACCTTGGAAAAGCTGCTTCACCTCTATGAGCCTCAATTTCTCCATCTATATAATGGGCCTAGTGGCAGCATCTAGATTAAAGGTTGTCGGACAAATGAAATGAGTCAGCGCACGTAAAGAATCTGGCACCTTGACCGACACAGCATACGGGCTTGATAAATGTAACTATTATTATCATTATAAGTCTCTGCTGAGTTTACACAAACCTGCCAGGCTAGTCCGGCATGATTCACCAATATGTCACCCCCACCCCCACCCCCAAACACACACACGGTCACATCTAGGAAATGACCGCCCTGATCCCCAAACCCACCC